TTCCTCTGTGACTGGCTGGGTGACTGGCCCCTGGTGTCCTCTCTCGTTGTTCTCTTCTTGCTCTTTCTGTTTGTCCTCTCTGCCTGCCAGCCCCACCAGTCCTTTCTCCTGCCTCACGATTGGCTGTTCCGCTCTTTATTAGACATGGGATTTATACAGGCAAAGAATTATTGCTTCACAGTTAAACAAATGCAGCATAAACAAAAGCAACATACATAATATTCTACAACACTTTGCTATGCTCTCTTTTTCTTCTCTCTTTGAGCCTACTCTATGCATAGCTCTTGGTGTAATCCTGATCTGAGATTCATCCTCAAGGAGGTATTTATCCTTGCCGTGAAAGTGAGCCCTTGCTGACAGATTTGGTCTGTTTTATTGCGGGGGGGGGGGGGCCGTTTGTCTAGAACTTTTTCTGGCACACAGTAAGCACTGGAGTATATTGTTGTTTAATAACATTTTATGTGCATTCATGTGTGCCATAGTACCCATGTGGAGGTTAGAAACCTTCTTTTGAGAGTAAATTCTCTCCCGCCATGTGGGTTCTGTCATAGAACTCAGGTCACCAGACCTGGTAGTAATCACCTTTATGTGCTGAACATCTCATCAGCCTCAGGATGTTTTCCAAATGCTTTTGCTTCCCTGCCACACAGCATCTCCTCTATGTTCTGAGTATCCTTGGTAAGAGTCTTAATTTTTAGGTGATGATCTTAAAGTTGGATTCTCAATATGTAGCCTAGACTGGCTTTGAACTCACTGTCCTTGTCACTCAGTCTCCTTAATGTCGGCATTACAGGCTTTCACCACCATTCCTAACTTGAGCACTTTTTCTGTAGTTGATGTTATTTAATTTGATGACACATTTTATTATATGGGGTAAGTAGTCTGAAGAAGAACATATTCACTGTTTTATTGAACCTTTTATAAATGCAAATGTTTATGTGTAAAAAGAGTTATTAACAAGTGTAGTGAGAATCAACGTTAGTTTTCTCAAAGTGCTAGAAAAATCCCAAAGACTGGGTGTTTGTTACTTTTGGTGTCTAAATGTTCGATTGCCTGGCCCTGTTACCTTCCTTTGAAGAGATATTTTGGAAACTGATTTCCTGAGTAAGTGAAGTCAGGAATCTCAGCAATTCTTGCATGTAGAAAGAATGTCATGTTTACCTGCCTTTTCCTGCCTTTTATTTAATAAGTTCAGGACTATTAAGTCCTGGACTCCCTGTCTAGGTGTCTCTGCTCAGCTGTATCATTGTAAAACAGCGGTTAAATAGTCGAGTTCTGGTATTCCTGAGAATTTACTCTATTGCCCATATTGCCATATTTAATATTTAGATAGCAGAGTCCAGCCATCCTAGAGAGCATTTCTCCTACAAAAGTGTTTCAGGAGAACTCCAGAGTTTTCTTTTAAGCTGTTAAATCCCCAGTTGACCTTTTTATTGAACACAAAACCTTTTCTGTGCCTTAGTAGTATAGAAGTGTCTTTGAACCTTTTCTTTGCTGTGTGGTTTTGTATTCTGCTGCACCCACATCTTTTCAGTCATACTGTCCCAGCAGTCTCCTAGAAGGCCGTCAGAACCTCGTTTGTATTAAGTTACTAGGTCTTTATGCTAGCCTTCCTTCAACTTCTCTCTTGGCAAAATTTGTAGAAGAAACACATAGTAGCAAAATATCTGGGGAGGCTGTTGTGGGAATGGAAGTATACAGGCAAACAGATAGAAAATAAATATTTTATAGACAGTATCATCTGATCTGTGTATCATTCATAGAATTGTTTAGAAAGAGAAAAGGGTAAGAAAGGAAGAGCTGGTCCTTTAATGTTTTCATTTCCTGTCTCAGGACAAGGGCTTTTAAGTCTCAAGTGCTTTTTTCATACAGATTCTTGGACCATCCAGTGCCAAAACCCCACTTTCAGGTTTTGTCTTAAGCAGCAAAGGCTAAGAATGCCAAGCCCACCCTTGTAACACTCAGAGGCTTCTGTTTTGGTAAGGTGTGTCTTGTTTGTTTGCTGTTTATAAAAGAATGGTTATTAAATAATAGCTGGCTATGATTAAGATTATGAGCAGAGAGATCAGAGTTTTAGGTGAGTTATCAAGTATTTGGCTGTTAATAATTTTATTACAGTGCTGCTATTCGTGTAGTAAAGTGCACAGATTTTAGGTTATCCCTAAGTCAATATCATGTAATTCCCACCCAGGTCACAGTGTGTGCCGCTTCTCACCCCATTCTATTTTGTTTTTCTGCAGGGTTTCTCTGCAGACCAGTCTGGCCATGAATTCAGAGATTTGCCTGCCTCTGCCTCCCAAGTGCTGGGATTAAAGGTTTGTGCCCAGAAATCTTACTTTTGAAGCTGAAGACTCAAACGCATGTTCTTGATTATGGTATATATTACATTAAAAAACTAAACTAAAAATGTCTGCTGTTTCGGCAGGTGACCCCTGGGTATGCCTGTTAAAGCAGGATTATAGTTAGGAACCAAGTTACTTTGATAGCCCCCACTTTATACATAGACTCTTGGAAAGTTTATAGCTGTTTGTTGTAGGCAGTGTCTGTCCAGGAGGGCTTAGAAGTTTCTGTGAATGCTGATATGTGTCTCACTGAGAGTTTGTAGCTGTCTTTATAGGCAGTGTCTGTATGGGAGGGCCTAGACGTTTTCATGAGTTCTGAAATAGACCTTACCTTCCTCATGACATGGTGAGAGTCCCAAGAAACCAGAAGTACCACTGTTTATCAAAAAAAAAAAAAATTTTTTTAATGAATAGAATACAGTTGACACAGCTTCAAGATCTTGGGGCCTGGGAGATGTCTGAGCAGGTAAAATAGGTAGACTGCAAGACCAGCTAAAAAGGCCAATGCCAGCATTTCTGTGGTGGGATTGCCCTCTGAATCTCAAGGCTCAACACAGTCGCAGAAACAAAAGAGACCCTGCCTCATGAAGATAGAAGACCAAAATTGACTCTGGACAGTTGTTCTCTCTCTCTCTCTCTCTCTCTCTTTCACACACACACACACACACACACACACACACACACACACACACACACCGTTTATTTAAAAAACAAGAATAACTACAAGATTAATTTGACAGTGGTTACTAAAGATAGTCTTCTGGGGCTGGGACAGTAGTTCAGTATTAGAGAGCTGTTTAACCTGTGTGAGGTCCTAGGACTGAATCTTTAGCTTCAATTCCAGAACTATGAAAAACAAAACCAAAAATGGCATTGTGCCATCTTTCCATTTTGGTGGGTTAACATGCTAATTATTTTAGCTATGTGTAAGTGCTGAAAATTGTTGAGGCTACTGCCTTCTGAGGGATTCTCCCAGCTTCTGGTAGTTTTTTTCTCATGCATGTGCAGATCTGTTCTTGCCAAAGCTCAGTAGAACCTCAAATCAGGTCCCCAAAGTATACCCTTTACATTCCTACGTACTGCCCAACAAGGACCTAGCCACTTTGGCCTCTCCAGTTCTGATTCTAACTGACAAGACTGGGTCCACCTTCTCTGTGTAGCAGTCTGGAATTTATATCTAGGTAGCATGGAGCACCCAAAGGTTTACCCTGCTTCCTGTCTTTGCAGCACACTCTTCTGTTGCCTTGTGTCTGAGAGTCATTATGCTCTGTACTTTGTCCAGCCTTCCACTGTTCACAGTAGGAAGATAAGTCTTGTCCCGTATAAAGCAGCACTAGAAGTCTCTAAAAGTGGAGGGAAAGGCTGGGGATGTAGTTCAGTTGGTTGAATGCTTACTTTGAAGTCACAGAGCCCTTGTTTGATCCTTAGCCCTGCACTAAACCAGGCATGGTGGCACACAGCTCTAAATCCAGAGGGGGAAGCAGGAGGATCCAAAATTTGAGGTCACTTTCTGATACTTGGAATATACGTGTGGTGTTGTGAATGAGACTGGCCCTCAAACATTCATATGTGCATGCTTAGTTCCTATTTGGTGACCTGTCTGAGAAGGATTAGAATGTGTGACCTTGTTGGAGGAAGTGTGTCATTGGGGATGGACTTTGTTTCCAAAGCCCATGCTAGGCTCAGTGACTTTCTTCCTGCTGCCTCTGAATCAGGATGTAAAGCTCTCAGCTACTGTTCCAGGAGCATGCCTGCATGCATGCCACCCTCCACACTCCCTGCAGTGATGATAAAGGACTAATCTGAAACTGTAAGCAAGCCCCTAATTAAATACTTTTTTAGCCAGGTATGGTAACACAGGCCTTTAACCTCAGTGCTTGGGAGGCAAAGACAGGCAGATCTCTCTGAGTTTAAGGCCAACCTGGTCTACATCGTGAGTTTCAGGGCATCCAGGGCTATGTAGAGAGACCCATAGGTATAATTTTCTGTCCCACCAGCCAGCTCCCAAATAATAACACAGATTTGTTATTAGTTATAAATGTTTTGCCAATAATTTAGGCTGGTTACTACCTAATTCTTACATTCTAAACTAACCCATATTTTCTATCTATTCTACTACGTGGTTCGGCACCTTTCTTCAGCACAGCATGTTTATCTTGTTTCTCCCTGGAGAGTCCTCCTTCATCCCAGCACTCTCCCTGTCCACAAGTCCCACCTAACCTCTTCTGCCTAAGTATTGGCCATTTAGCTCTGTATTAAACCAATGAGAACACATTTTCACAGTATACAGAAAGATTATTCCACAACAGAGACCCTGTCTCAAAAATAAAAAACAACAGCAACTTTCTTTTGTCAAAGTAACCTTGGTCATAGTATACTTTAATAGCAATAAAAACTCTTTAAGACTCCAGACGATTGTGGTGCACAGCCTTAATTCCGGCACACTTGGGAGGCAAAGGCAGGCGGATTTCTGTGAATTTGAGTCCAGCCTGGTCTACATAGAGAGTTCCAGAACAGCCAAAGCTGTTACGCAAAGAAACCCTGTCTCGAAAAACAAAACAAACAAACAAAAGTTCTGGTAGATAAAAAGAAAACAAAGAAAATGGTTATCTTTTTCTTCTATTCCTTAGTATTATTTTGTTTTTTGTTTTTTTTTAGGCAAAGAATGTATACAACAGTTGGCTGAGAACACCAGGTATTTCAGGAGACGCCTGAAAGAAATGGGCTTCATCATCTATGGCAATGAAGACTCCCCGGTGGTGCCTTTGATGCTCTACATGCCGGCCAAGATTGGGTACTTTTCGGGAAAGGCCACAAACTGGTCTGTCATTAGACAGAAAGATATGTTGGGGTGGAGGGGAGAGAAGTTGGCATTCCTGTGTTGCTACATGGGCAGGATTTTTTTTCCTTGCTTGCTCTTTTAAAGACGATCTCACTGTGTAGCCCTGGCTGGCCAGGAAGTCACTATCTATAGATCAGACTTCCTCACCGCATTGGCCTGCCTCTGCCTCCCAGGCGCTGAGATTAAAGGTGTGCACCACCACACCTGCCATGGGCTGCCTTTTATTCCCAAGTAATGTGAACAAATTAAAGGAAGATAAAACACAAAGCAAAATTTGGTAAACAAAGCCAAACCATTAGAATTCATTATTTAGTCAGGATTCTGCTGTGGAGTAAGGCACAAGATAGCTGTGGTGAACTTGTTGTGTAAGAGCTGTGGAGTTTGGGGGACCTGCTGGTCTGCAGAGCCCCAAAAGCAGCCTGTCCTACTTTCCCAAGTAGGGAAAGAAAAAAAAGGAGGAATTCCTGGCCAGTCAGTTACTCCCGCTGTACCTGTCGCAAGTCCTCTGTCCTCACAGTCTCAAAACTTACTGTTTTTTAACACAGGTTTGTTTGAAATCTTAACCACTGTTACATTTCAGGGACAGGCTATCACCTATAGCAGATTTTATCAGAATTGATCCTTGCCAATTACATTCTTCCACCTTTGTGGAATAACTATCAGAGGACTGGAAAAGCAGAGATTTTAGAATCATCAAAAATTGGGCCAGCAGCCAGGTAGTGGTGGTGTGAGCCTTTAATCCCAGCAGGGAGGCAGAGGCAGGCGGGTCTCCTTGGGTTGAAGCCCAGCCTGATCAACACAGCACGTTCTAGGACAGCCAGGGTTGTTACACAGAGAAACCCTGTTTTTTTTTTTTTTTTTAGGGTGGGGGGCAGGGAGACTGAGCAGGTGCAGGCATCAAGCTAGTAAGACTTTGTACTTTCTGCTTATTATACTTCTTGGTTTCTTTTGTTGTTGTTTTGTTTTTGGAGGCAGGATTTCTCTATTTTGCCCTGGTTAGTTCTCTGTGTTGCCGTAGAATTAGCTCTGTAGATCAGACTAGGCTCAAACTCAGATCCACCTACCTCTGTCTATTAAAGTCACCATGTCTGGCTACATCTCTTGGTTTTCCTTTTGTAGTGCCTTTGGGCGGGAGATGCTGAAGCGGAACATTGGTGTAGTTGTGGTGGGATTTCCTGCTACCCCAATCATTGAGTCCAGAGCCAGATTTTGCCTGTCAGCAGCTCATACCAAAGAAATACTTGATACAGTAAGTACCTTGGAGTCAGTACGGCACATACTAAAAGGGGCTGTATAGCAGATGGTACCAGTCACTTGATGTTCTGGAACATCTAGGTTTTTTTTTTTATTAAGGTTTATTTTATGTGTATGAGTGTTTTATGTGTATGCTGTGTGTGTGTGTGTGTGTGTGTGTGTGTGCACGTGTACCACATGCACGCTTGGTGCCATGGATCGCCAAGAACTGGAGGTACAGACAGTTGTGAGCTGTCATGTGGGCGCTGGGAATTGAACCCATTTCCTCCAACCCAGTGCTCCTAATCACTGAGCCATTTCTCCAGCCCCGAGCACCTGGTTAGACAGGACAGACAGTGTTATCTTAAATGACTATTTCAAAGCAGTTGCCTAATCTTTCATATCGTCCACAAATCCAGTACCAGAGTTCTGGAGAACTTTCTAACTTCCTCTGTTTTGGTTTGTGACAGGGTCTTGCTAAGTAGCCCAGGTTGCCCCTGAACTAACAGTGTTCACACTAGAGATCCTCCTGTCTCAGCCTCCTGGCTGCTGGGATTATAGGTGTGGGCTACCTTACTCAATCAGCATCCATCCACTTGTAATGTTGTCTTTCTCATGATACAGTCTAAAGCAGGACAGGTCTCTTCTCTCCAGCAGTTTCTAATTTAAATTTTCTCATTCGATGTTACATTTAAAAAACATTCCTTTCCTAAGCTTTCTTTCCTCCTTGTGTGGCTGCTGTGTGTTGATCACAGCTCCACTCAAAAGGAACCTTGCAGGTTTTTCCCACAGCAGCCTAAGATACCCCCGCCCAGCAAGTTCTTTATGCTGGTAATGGTTTCATTGTGGGTTTATTGGGAGAGAGGTGATATTATGCTTTTTTTTCTTTGCGGCATGCTGGTCTCCTACTCACAGAAACGTGTCTGTTTCTTTCTCCTGAGTAGTGAAATTACAGACATGTGCCATTATACTTGGCTAAGATCTACTAGTCTTAAGGAATTTTTTAAATCGTTCTTTTAAAAAGTATTATAATAATTTAATTGAAGTTTGGAGATTTGTTTGTTTCCAATATCAGGCATGATTGTCCTCTTGTGTTGAAAATGAAATTTGGAAGACTCATATTTGTCAATTACAACTCTAATTATACCCTATAGTAGCTAAAGCTGAATACCAGCACAAGGATTGCAGTTAGACTAGAGACTTGGAATGGGAGCTGAGGTCAGTTGATTGTTGACAGGGCACCGGGGGTAGGCAGTAAGCAAAAGATAGTTTCTAAAGCAAGCAGTGCCAGCATGGATGCCCAGTGAAGCTGCAACCCTGCAGCGTGGACAGACCTGCAAGCTGTGCTAACTGAAAGAAGCTAGATACAGCTGTGACTTAGGATTCCACTCATAAGGAATGCCCATAGTGGGCGACTCTGCTGTGTCAGAGAATACACTGGTGGTTGAGGGAGCTTAGAGGTAAAGCAGGGGTGCAGAGCAGTAAACATACTGAGTGTGGGAGTTAATCAGGAGACAGAGAAAGCCTGGTCTGCAGAGCCGGTTCCAAGACAGCCAGGGCTACACAGAAACCCTGTCTCGAAGAGCCAAGAGAGATAGAGACCGAGACTTTCTACACTTACTGAAGTGATGGAAATTGCACCTGCTGGGATTATACTAGAAGCACTGAATTATGTCCAGTAAGAAGTTGGGTTTTGTAGAATGTGGGTCATATTTCAATAAAGTTATTTTTCCACATAATGGGAAGAACAGTAGCATCAGCTGTGGGAGGGCAGCTGTATGAACCTGTTTCCTTACTTGGTCTGTACTGAATGTGTTTTTCTCTTAGGAGTTCATCCTGTGTCTTGAGCAGAGGTCACTCTAATTATTTGCTAAAACATGGTACCATATAATGGTTCTTTACTCCTAACCAAATAACCTCACTAAGGGCCGACAGTTTCTATTAGAAATTTGTTTTTTATGTAGATTAAACTTACCTGGGGTTGTGATTGTTGGCATATGCCCATAGTCCTAGGTGCCCAGAAGTCTGAAGCAGGAAGATCACTTGAGCTCCAGACTTTCAGATCAGCTTGAGAAGTTTATTGAGATTCCACATCAAATAACAAAAAGCATTCAAAAGCCTTGTGTGAAGTACTTGCTGTGAGAACAGAGCTCTTACCTGCATCCCCTTGGGCACTGTGAGCTTGTTTGCTCACTGACTGTTCCTAACCACTTTCCTTTTTACACTGATGGGAAAAAAAATGAGGTGCTCCTGAAGTCACAGTTTGTAAATATCCTTTTCTTTGCGTTCTGAGTCACGTACCCTTCTGTTTCAAATGTATAAATCCTCTGTCAGAACCAAGGAAATAAATGGGTTCCCCTGTCTGAAGTTCAGAGTCGACTGTCTGTGTGGAGTCTTCAGTTAAGCCTGGCTTCAGAGGTACTGTGTTCTGATAGCACAGTGAAGTCCAACGCAGTTTTCACATCTTGGAATAAAGAACAGGCAAACTCAACTTTATGTTGGTAAGCCGTTCTAAAATATACATTTTAAAAAACATCTTATTACAATTTTTATTTAGTATGCTTTTGAGTATGGGTATAGGTTCAAACATGCCATAACTTGAAGATGGAGGTCAAAGGGTAAGTTGCAGGAATTGGTTCTTTCCACTACGTGGGTCCTAGGGATTGATCTCGGGTTGTGAGGCTTTGTGGAAGACGCCTTTACCAGCTGAGCACCTCACTGACCCAAGGTGTGTGTTTTCATGCAGCATTATAGCTGGGATCTTGACAGGAAGCCTGTACCTTTCCTACCGAGCACATTACACTTAGAAGAATTGTGGCCTTTGTGGTGCATGCTTGGGTTCCCGTGCCCATCTGACGGCCAGGCTGGGCCCTTGCTCTGATGCTGTTATCTAGCTTCAGCTGTGTACAACCTTTCCTGAGTACTCGAATTCAGTGTGTCCCACCGAGATAGCCGTACCACTGGTCGTTCCAGGAAAGTGTTGGGCATGCTTGCATCCTGCTTGTCCTGGCTGACCCCTGTCTTGTGTGTTTTAGGCTTTAAAGGAGATAGATGAAGTCGGGGACCTGTTGCAGCTGAAGTACTCACGGCGTCGGTTGGTGCCTCTGTTGGACAGGCCCTTTGATGAGACTACCTATGAGGAAACAGAAGACTGAGCCTTTTTGGTGCTCCCTAGAGGGGGAATCTCCCTCCCAGGACAGCGTGTGGCCTTTCTGAGCCAGTTCCAGGAACCACACTTCAGTGACCACCTCACGTGAAAGACATTTCTGAAACTACTGAAGGTGGCCACCTCCACTCCAAATGGCATTTTGTAAATAGTAAAAAACAAACTGCTTCACATTCTTCCTTTGTTTGCTAAGTCTCACCTTTATATACATATAAATAATTACTTTGCCCATTAAAAAATGTTTTATTTTATAACTATTCTACTTGTGAAATCACGCTGACCCTTGCCTATGCCTTACAGCACAGGCATTCCCCACTCCAGCCACCTCATGAACTTGGATCCATCAAGACTTACTCTGGCCCTGGCTCTCCAGCCTTGAGTCTCACTGGCCCTCTCCCTAGGGAGTAAGTGCCTTCTGCTGACTTCCTGTCCAGGTCTCAGAAGTCGCCCCCCCTGGTAGCCCTTATTTAACTAGTCAAGTTAATCAACCAAAGCATCTGTCTTTAGTCTTCAATGTTAACAATGCCAAGAAGTTTATTGTGTGGCCCCCACACACAAGGCCTCCCTAGACTGTTCTTACTCTGTTGTTGTGGTGGTGGTCACCAGATAGTTTATTCATTGGTAGATATTTCTTCATATGGTCATAGACTGAAGATGTATCCAGAGTTTGGGTTCTTCCCCACATCTAACCCTAATGCTTCCCACCTCCAAAGTTATGACAGCCTCTGGCTGGTTCTGGGTCCAGAGTAGGATTTGACGTGGTAAAGGAGAGTGTTGGTTAGTCCTTTGCCCGGTCCGCCTCATCATCAGTGGTATAAGTTTTCCTTGTAGATGCTGACCCACTTAAACAGTGCTCTTCCAAACGCCGGTTCTTCTACTCTTGACGTCCTAAGACGACCCTACCCAGCATCTGGGGCTGGCTTCTCTTGAGCTTCTGTTGTGTATTTTTTTCCTTTGAGGAATTTCTGATCAAATACCTCTTTCCTAAACTGGAACAGCTTCTGTTTTTCTGTCACTACCAGGTCAGGGACTTCATCCAGAGCTTTGTGCTGCTTGACCAAAGAACACATCTGAAGAGCACCATTTGGAGTTACTTTTTTCTTTCAACCAAAGCTTAGTTGAAGAGAACTTTTGTCTTTATTGTACTGAAGATGAATTTATCTTTTAGTAGTGATCAAGTCTAGGGAACGATTGAGAACAGAATGAAAAGAGCTGTATAAAAGTATGTTCTATATGTCATTCTTTAAAATTGTTCTCTTTGTTGGTAAAGATGCCCCAACCTGATTCTCCTGGGACCTTCTTGTCTGCTGCAGTACATGGAAGAGAAAGCAGAAGTGATGCTGTTGGTGAAGCTGTGTTCCCATGCCCTCTTGAGATCTGGGAGCTTTCAGCCCAGGAGATGGTCTGAGGTTGTATGTGACTTTCTTAAAGAATAGAAATGGAGCTTGGCAATGGCATCACACGCCTTTAGTCCCAGCACTTGGGAGGCAGAGGCAGGTGGATCTCTGTGAGCTTGAGGGCAGCCAGGGCTGCATAGTGAAACCTGTCTCAAAGGAAGAAAAAACAAAAGCAAATGGTAAATAAAAGAACCACAGAAAGAGACAACTACATTTATAAAAAAGATTTCGTAACGAAGCCTTGTAAAGCTCAAAACATCTTGCTCACTTTCCCCCCGTGGAAGCCCACTGGAATACCAAGTATAGTTCCTTTAATGATATAGACATAGGGCTTGTAAAAGAAACCAACTTTAAGTGATGAACGTGTCTTTTAGCAGTCACTTCAAATTAAAGTGTTCTTGACAGGCATTTAAATTTTTATGTGTGTATCACTTGATGCACAGTTTACTTTGAAGAGAGAAAACTCGTGTGATCTACCTATGATCTCTACATTCTAGAGAACAAAGTGGTATGTGCACATTATATGTGACTGGTTATTCGTAACTCTGTTATAGAAATCTCCCGTCCAGTCATGTCGTAGATTATTATCCAAGTTTGGGGGCAGTACAGGGGTAAAGTAGCCCAGCATTTGAGAATCTTAAAGAGATTCAAACAAGTCAGCTGCCACCACCAGACCTGACTGCTGATTGGCCTGCAAAGTGCAGCTCATCCTGGCGCTTTCCGTCCTGCCTTTCATTACCGTTGTCCTTACTCATTTCATGTGTGTTAGACCCACTTCACAGCCAACCAGAATCATACATAAGATGGGGCAAGGGCAGTGTGAGCATCTCCCCTCTGCAGTACCCCTGTTTAAGGGACCCAGCCCTCTTCAATTCTTCATGCTTTTCAACTCCTCTAATCTAGGCAAGGTTCAAAATCAGCTTCTTCCTCGAATTCTCCAGCCTCACTTCTGCCTGTCCCTCTCTCTCCCTCTCTCCCCCTCCCTCCCTCCCTCTCCCCCCCCCCCTCTCCCCCCCCCCCCCCCCCCCCTCTCTCTTTGGCTGAAGGGTGGAGCACCCTCATAGTGATTGTCTCTGATCCTTTGCTCGCCCTCCCTGTGCCTTCTTCAGAGGACTGAGGGTTGGGGGAGCTGCAGTGTAGACAGCCTGCTCCTTGCATGCACAACCATGCACTTCAGTGATCAGCAGGGGACTTTTTCTATCTTTATTAGTTGAGGGGCTCTACAACTGAGTGTCCATGACTGGCAGGGTGTGGCCGGATTACCTGGTATGTAACACACCCTGCAAAAAGTGGGCGGGATGAACAACTGACATAAATCTTGCGACTTTTTGGACAAAGTATCTACTACCAACTCCATTTTTCCAAATTGATGAATCTGCCTAATGGTTTGTAGTATTTTTGACAAAACCCATAGAAAATAACAACCGGTTCTCCTGTGTAAGTGACCGCTGTGGGTCAGGTATGGTGCACATCTGTAGTCCCACACTCGGGAGAGAAAGCTCTGGGGGTGAGGGTGGATTGATATGACTGAGTGCCAGGATGGTGTTAGAGGTAAAAAATACCTGGGTGTCCCTGTCACTTTGCTTCACGTGTGGGGTTAGAAGAAGAGGGAGAATAGTGTTCTTTCTGACTGCCCTGTGCCTGTGACGATCAGGAACTGTGGAGTACTTCCCACAGGTAAAATCACCTTAACCTGGGGCTATGAAGAGAGAGAGGGGTTCATAAAAGTGAGGATTCTGCTTGGCAGTTTATCAAAAAAGCTTTAGCCCCCATCCCACCCACCACCCAGTTCCAGAACCGATGGATGAGCCTGGATGAGCCCTTACCTGTAAGCTCGGTGCCCAGCAGGCATCTTAATCCATTAAGCTGGTCAATCAAAATGCCTTCCATGTGAAGAAAAGCATGTCCTTCCTCCCCTCTGCCTTATCCACATGAAATGCGTGCTTGGGCTCATAGCCAGCCGCTGTGTCCAGTCAGATAACCAACTCAGAGCTCAGAGAAATGCTAAGGCCTTCCAGTGATCCCTTGCCTTGCCTTGCCTATAAAATGGAAGTTATCGGTGACTTGTGTTTTCCAAGCAGCTTTTTGCTGTAGAGTGAAGTGTTTCTAGGGAGGAAACACAAGGAGCCAATTTAAGCCCTTAATGAAAATGACCTTTTTCATCTTTGCTGAATCTGAAGGCTTTACGTTCACAGTTCACCCTTGGGAGCAGCGTGGGGGTTGGGGAGATGCGGGCAATATTGCATTCACTATAATATGGCCTTGCGTTGTAACCGTACCTGGTGTGCCGGAAGGAGGCGAGGCTCTCACCCTGCAGTCACTGTTTTTAATGAAGCAATACCTAAAGCTCTGTTTTTGGAGCAGTCGAGGTAGGTGGATTGGAAGGTGCCTGCAAGAACGGCACCCCCACGTGCTGCTGCTCTCCCCAGGTCAACTCAGTCGAGCACAGGTCCCAGGTCTCCTGAACAGATCCTGACTGTCATAGGCCTTCCAAATGAGTGGCGATCGCAACACCAAGTGAGGTGGAGTAGTGACTTACCTTCCCCCTTATCTTTCCTCAGGATTGGTTTAGCCAGTAGTTGGAACTGAGAGCTTCCTTGTTAGGTCTTTCTCCACAGGACACAGAGGCCTTTTGTGTGAGCTTAGCCTGCATGCCCATAGTCTTGATGATCCCTCTCTGTACAGAGGCAGCTAGCAGTAAGGGATGGGGAGAGGCGAGCAGGTGTGAGAACTCAATTAGGGTGGTCCTGTTGACCCATGCATTCCCACTGACCGAGTTACTGTAAGCTGGAATCTGTAAGGTGTCCTGTGACCTAACCCTTTCCATTTGCTGCAATGTTCTTACCACCTGGGAATGTGGGGTTCTTTTGAATTTTAGTAACGTCTTACAAATGTCGCTCAGCTGTAGCCTTCTGCCTTCTTGCCAGATCATGATTTTTTTAAAATTTTATTTTGTATCGGATAACTGTGAAGCTATACATAGTAGGTTGTGGAGGGTATCCGTTTTCAGAGTACATGTTCATAATTAAAGGGGACCTACTTGAGATGAATCATCCCACAAATATTGTTTTGCCCTAATAAAATATTCAGAAACAGACATCTGCCTTTATTCATTCAGCCAATAAATATCGGGCATTAACCTCAACGCCAGCAATTGCAAGTACACTGGGCATTAACAGCAGTGAAAAGACAGATGTGGACAAATGTGTGAACACCGTTTTACAGACTGCTAAGGGCTTGCACAGAGAACCCAAAAGGGATAATAGAAATGGGTAACAGAGAAGACTTGTCTGAGGAAGTGGGAAGTCTGATACATTTCAGTAAAAGAAGACCTCAGTCGGGAGGCAGAGGTGAGAAGATCATTGCAAGTTTGGTGGGGGACCACAGGGCAAGGCTGGAGAGGCCAGGGCAGCTCTGCCTCTTTGCAGGGTGGGGTGGGGTGCACTGGGGGACCACAGGGCAAGGCTGGAGAGGCCAGGGCAGGTCTGCCTCTTTGCAGGGTGGGGTAGGGTGCAGTGGGGGACCACAGGGCAAGGCTGGAGAGGTCAGGGCAGCTATGCCTCTTTGCAGGTCAGGGGAGATATTCACTTCACCTGTGGAAAAACCAGTGAAAAGTTTTTTATTTTGTTCTTTCACACTTATTGGGGGGGGGCATGTGTCTGGATGAGCCTGCCAGTTCACATGTGGTCAGAGCACAATTTGTAGAAGCCCATTTCTCTACCATGTGGGGTCGCAGGACTGAACTTGGTATATCTGGTTTGGTGGCAAAGTGCCTTTACCAACTGAACCATCCTACTGGCTGGAAAAATTTGGAGAGTGAAGCCAGGTGGTGGTGGCACACGCCTTTAATCCCAGCACTCGGGAGGCAGAAGCAGGCGGATCTCTATGGGTTGGAGGCCAGCCTAGTCTACAAGAGCTAGTTCCAGGACAGGCTCCAAAGCAACACAGAGAAACCCTGTCTTGAAAAACCAAAAATAAAGAAAAAAGAAAAGAAAATTTGGAGAGTGGAAAAAGATAGGCTTTTTTTGTGAACGCTGACAAGTTGATAAAATTTGTATGTAAACACAAAGGACCTGAGAATAGTCCACAATTTTGAAAAATGGCTTACACTGCCTGAAACCATTCCTTAACATTGTAGGTAGTGTTCTTGGCTTTAGGGTGCCTGTGGGTCACTAAACTCTACAGAGTCCAGAAACAGACGCATGTGTAATGTGATCACTTGATTTTCTCTCTCTTTTTTTTTATTTTGTTTCGTCTTCGAGACAGGGTTTCTCTGTGTAGCCCTGGAACTTGCTCCGTAGACCAGGCTGGCCTTGAACTCAGAGGTCTACCTGCCTCCCCAGTCCTGGGATTACAGGCCTGCGCCAGCTTCAGCAAAAGATCCAAAGTACTTCAGTGAAGCAAATGCAAGTGCCGCAACTAGTGGCAGTGGTCGCTGAATGCCCATAGGGGGGCGGGAGGATGATCTTTAACCTCCGTGTACGATAATTAATTAAATTAGGTGATAATCTAAATATGAAAATGACAGGCCTAGGGCAGTAGTTCAGGTGACAAAAGAACTCATCACTGAAGTATGAGTGCCAGCGTTAGGTCCCCAGCACCCACCGTCTTGTCTAGCTAGCTGGATGACCTGTGAGCTCCATGTTCAGAGAAAGACCCCACCTCGGAAAATAAAATGAGAGCAGCCGGCCTCCTCATATACAAATGTGCGCACCACACAGATACACACATGCAAAGAATTTCTCTTCAGTAAAGTCAACAAGTTCACTAAAAATGGCCTGGGGTGGCTAAAGAGCACTTAGCTGTTCTCCCTGGGGACTCAGGGCCAACCCCCAGCACACTCAGGGCAGCTCATAACTGTGACTGCGCTTCCAAGGGACCCAGGGCCCGGCCACTGCGGGCCAGCATGCATGTGACACACAGACAGTTATGCAGGCAAAACAACCATACATATAAAGTTAGTTATTTTTTTATTTTTATCTTGGTTTTGCGAGACAGAGTTTTCTCTATGTAGCCCAGGCCGTTCTAGAACTTGCCCAGTAGACCAGGATGGTCTTAAACTCATAGATCCGCCTGCCTCTGCCTCCATAGTGCTGGGATGGAAGGCATTCATCACCCCTTCCCAGCTTATAACATTAAATGTTTTAAAAAAATGTAGATCAAATAAAACAAGATATTTGAGCAAACACTTGTCGAAAAAGTCTGGCAAGGGGCGTGGTGGCACATGCCTGTAATCCCAGCATTTAAACAACAAAAAAGATGCTAACCTATTAAAAAATGTTCATTGTTACTATCAAAACGTTCAAATGAAAACAATAAAATACCCTCCTGCACACAGAATGATTAAAACTGGAAGAATTACAATAGTCAATGGGCATAGAAATGGAGTAACTGGGGCTGTCTTAGGTTACTGGTGGGGACCATCTGAGAAGCAAGATGACCACTTCCACTTTTTTTTTTTTTGCAGCCAATTAGGTGTTTATTTATCCATGAAAAAAATAAAATGTGTCCGTACAGAACTTGACCATTCATAGCTACTTTCTTTACTAATAGCAGCCCCAAACTGAAAACAACTCGTAAAACATTATGTTAAGTGGATACACACATTTCAGTGTGCCCAAACAATAGCAATAGGTACGACCTAGCCATGTAAGTGCACAAATCACTGCTATCTATAAGATGGATGTCTCTCAGAAACATGCTGAAGGAAGCCTACCCAAGAAAGAGACTATATCACATGATTTTATTGATAAGTTCTAGAAAAAGGCAAATCGTAGCACAGTATTTCAAGCTGTTGCCAGGAGACAAGATTATGGGGTGGTGATTGTACAAAGAGATTGTTAAAAGATCATCTTCAAAACAACAACAAAAACATAAAAATCATGATTTTCTTAGAGAAATAAAAATGCCAAAAAGTCTAACTCATTAATGAAGAAATAAGATCTAGAAGAACAGAAATTTACAGATGAGCAGTATTAGAACTAAAATTCTAAAAGTGCAAATGAAGGTAGAACTGGTTTTGTCCATACTTCAGGTAGACACCGCCTGAACTTTTATGAGATGGGACAGAATTTACATTCCGGTAGACAAGAGTCATTTTGTTTACTGTTGATAACTACAAATACAGCAATATAGCTCGAAAACAATGAAAGACTCATCGACTCCTGAGAAGAAAGACAGGGATACACTGCCTGCAGACAGTGCAGGATTCTCATGACTTTTCGTCATCCCCCCCTCCCAAGTTCTCATACAATTTTTATCTTCCTACAGCTCTAGAAAGAAATCAGAATCATGGGAAGGTTCTAATCTTAGCTATGATGGTCACATGAATGCATATGTTTTAAAAATATAATTGTTAGCCAGGTGGTGGTAGCTCAAGCCTTTAGTTCCAGCACTCGGGAGGCAGAGGCAGGTGGATCTCTCTGAGTCCGAGGCCAGCCTGGTCTACAAGAGCAAGTTCCCGGACAGGCTCCAAAGCTACAGAGAAACCCTGTCTCAAAAAACCAAAATACATATATCTGTTTATTGTGGGTGTGGATGCAACACACCTGCATGCATATTGCACAGGGCATGGGTAGATATCAGAGGACAACGTGTGGAGGTTGGTTCTCTCCTTCCACTGTCTGGATTCCAAGGATGGAACTCAGGTGGTTTACAGCAGGGGCCTTTACCAGCCGAACCATCTCACTGGCCCACATGAATCTATACATTTCTTAAAATTCACTGGGCTGTACAGTTAAAATAGATATATATTATTTTAAATTTTATCTGTTTGCCTGCCTGTATGTCTGTGCACCACATGCATGCCTAGTGCCCACTGGAGGCCAGAAGTGGGTGTCAGATTCCATAAAACTGGCCTTCCAGATGGTGGCTGGATCAGTTACTTTTCCATTGCTGTGATGTGATAAAACACCACGACCAAAGGCAGCTTCTAGAAGAGTTCATTCAGGGCTTACAGTTCCCAAGGGACAGGAGTCCATCACCGTCTTGACTGGGCGAAGAGCAGAAGACAGGCAGACCTGGTGCTGGAGCAGCGGCTGAGAGATCACATCCCAGTCCACAAACAGGAAGCAGAGAGCACGCTGGGAATGCCTTGAGTCTTTTGAAACCTCAATTCTATTTTAAAGTGACACACCTGCTCCAACAAGCCACACCTCCTAATTCTTCCCAAACAGTTCCTCCAACTGAGGGCCAGCTATTCAAACACATGAGCCTATGGGGAACATTCTCATTCAAACCATTGCAGACCCAGGTATAGTGGCCTATGCCTTTAATCCCAGCACTAAAGGAACAGAACAGGTAGGTAGGTCTCTGTGAGTTCCAAGACAGCCAAAGCTACATAATGAGATTCTGTCTGGGGAAAAAAAATCAAACCACTACAGTTGTGGGTGCAGGTAAATATTGATATATTTTATTATGTGTTAACTGTATCTCAATGTAATTGATCAAAATCAGAAAAGATATCCGTTTCATGGCAGTCAGGGGTGGGAGCATTGTGGGAACGGGAGTGGGTAGAGCAGGACCCCTTTCAGACAGACCAATCAGGGAGTGGGGCTTGAGGTGAATTAGCAGTTACTGACATGGAAACAGATATGAATGAATGAATGAATGATGAATGAACGAACAAACAAGCTCTTCATCTTCGAAGTCATATTAACCTGGTAGGAAGCATCAAAAGCATGGCTAACAGGCTAAATATTGGGGTAGATGTAAAACTAGTTAAACCAAAATTGTTTTATGGCCTTGCCTTCAGCCTAGTAAACACAGTTTGATTTAGAAGATGCTCAGAGGCTAACATTCTGTTAGCTAGCATTTGAGTATTTATCATGTACCAGGTAAGTATCTTCCTAGGTAAATCAAGCGAAATCGCCAGTATCCAATCCCTTTGACCCGACCTCAGATCCAGGCTGTCACCCATGCGTCACACCTTCAATGACCTGCAGTGTCTGCTGCTGTGGAACACGAGAGTAACTTCAAAAACAAAAACCCAAAAAAACAAAAAACTCAACGCAGCTCTGAGAATTTCACTCTGCTTCAGTCACTCCTGAGCCGCAGCTGGACATACTGGTCATCTCAGGAATTCGAGTTACTTACGAG